TTATATTGTAGTATCGTTCACGTAGGCTTGACCGAAAATTGTTATACGCCAACGAAAAAAGTGTAGATTATGTTCTTGTTTTTACGTTTTTAGTAACTTGCAATTTCGAACTTCGAATGCAAATATGTATTTCGATTTTAGATGCTAACTTCAAAAAACGGAAAATTTGCTTTTTTACTTATGGCTCAATTTCTTTAGAAAAAAATTACCCAGCCGAGTACTTTACAGTGTTATTTCGGTTAAAAGTTGCTCAGAAAAGTTTGAGAATTAAAATTAAACTCCGAATCACATTGTTTAACAATTAATTATTGTTTTTTTTTTAAGGTAAATTCAATATAGTTTGAAGGCACTTAATTTGTGAACATAATCAAATAAATAATGTTCATATTGATTAACTACAAATACGAAAGTATATATATTATGTTTACATAAATTTATGCAGGTTAATTGCAAACTTACCCTTACTTTAAAATCTGCTTAATCCATATATTTTTATAAACCACAGTTAAATTGAAAAACTATGAAACATTTTTAAAATACTAGCACGTAATTCAAATCGCAGCCGAAATAAAGGAAAACCACGCACTTATCACAAAAATCAACCCACTTTGTTGGCCACTTCGTTTATCTAAAGCAAAAACGGCGCTGATTGGCTGACAGCCTATGCCTCCCCAATGTATGCGCTGCAAGGCAGCCATGCACACACACACATGCAAAAAAAACTGTTAGATATGCTTTTAAGCTATTTGCCTTGCGCTAAGCATATCGAGCTGCGATTGGTCGTATCTATTTACATTTTATATAGATGTACAGTTATGTAAGTATTTAAGTTGTGTATGTGTTTGCACGCATAATTTTCGTTGTTTACTATATATCTAAATAAAAATATGATAATATATACATAAAGGCTAGGTACATACATATATTGATATTTATGTGCTCAAAGGCTAAAAATACAAAAGTATTTATGAGTATATAACAAATTTTCATATACATATATATATAAATATGTGCATACTAATTAAATACTATCTATCAACTCGTTTTACATATGTGCTAAAGTATATAAATACATTTATGTTAAATTATATAGTAAGTACACACATATGTAAAGCAAAATCCTCAGACAATGTGTTTTGTTTTTATTTCTTTGAAACAGTAGCTTTTTCGTGGTCCAAATTGTCCCCTCATAAATTTTGCCAACCCAGCAGTTTTGTATTTTTTTTATGCGAAAACTTTTCCGACAAGTCGGCGCCATTTTTGCCGCATTGCTGATTTCTTTTGTGGAATCGCAATTGTGTGGGAAAACTTTTCACAGTCGAGTGTGAGAAAACGAATCTGCGTTTGGCAATGTCATCAGAAATCAAATTGCCAGTAATACTCGCACACACACACACATTTACTTACTGAGTTACATGAATATTATAATAAACTATAAATTTCTATTGTTACATCTTAAATTAAATATTAGAATATTTGACACTATGTTTATCATATATACATGGAAATAATTCTGAGAAAAATCGGTTCTGCTTAAAAAATAGTCAAATTGTGTGCCATAAATAGTAGAACCGCTTCACTAATCAGTTGAGTTATCTACACTCGTATTCAATTAACTCACATTCTCCGGCCTTGAAATAAATGGCAAGCGTTCAAACTACTTTTAGCGAAGCATTTTCTTGACAGAAATACCCTTTAAGATTTGTTATTGCACCACCAAAAGCGACCAATTTCAAATGGATGTAGGTTTAGTGATTGATTAAAAGCTTTGAACAATTTTCTACTTTCTTACAGTTTAGTGTTCCAAATACACCATCTGATGCGGCAAAAAAAAATAAAACAAATCTTTATTATCACCTAATCCTAATCTAAGCATTGGCTGGCTCTCAGTGCCTTCCCCGAATGATTCTTAATGGCTTCAATGAACTCATATCGCATCCGCCGAAGCGGAATTTTCAGTTTAGAAAATAGAAAAAGGTACCCATTAGCAAAGTCCTGGCAAATATGGTGAATAAGCGATAACTTTTGTATAGTGTTTACCCAAAAAATACAGTTACAATCATGCTGTAAAAAATCCATATTTTTTGCCCACAAATCCTGTCGTTTAAAATGAATTTCTTCAACGGCCAAATTGTATTAATTATTGAGTATTTTAACCTGTGGAAAGGATTCATGAAGAACCGAGCCACGGTAATCAAAGAAAACGATTGGTATTACCTTGATTTTTGACCGACTTTGACATGTTTTTTTTTCGATTTCGGCTCATTTTTGGAGCGCCATTCGGTAGATTGTTAGACAGTTGCGTCATATTCAGACATCTCGTCACCAGTAACTGATGTGCTTGATGAATATAGACTCCTCAACTACATTGTCATGCATCTCATTTGCGTAATATAGTCGAGTCGTTGTTGCTAAAGATTCAGATCTTTTGGTACCAGTCTAACCATAATTGACCCATTTCATATCCAAAACATTAACCAAAATGTTGAAAGATGTTGAGTCGATCCATAAGAGATGTTAATATCCCCTGCTATATCTCTAATGCCAACACGACGATTTTTCCTCTTTAACCTGCTGACAATTGTAGCAGAGTTAATAACAAATACTTTCGGGAATGATGACTTCTTCGGTAGGTATGTTCCACTTGCTTGCTTATACCATCCCTTTCTCATCTTTCTAGCTCAAATCCACGTACGAAAAGCGTCCAGTTATATATGGTTGCTCGATCAGTCTGTTCGAAATATGTGTCATACCACAATAAATCGTAATTTAACATCACTTAGATGCTATCTCCGACTGGTGTTATTTCCAGACATGCTTTGTACTCTATGTAGGAAATCCCTGACAAATAGACGAATCGACATTATACAGAATGAATAATCCTAAATATGGAATAATGCTGCAAATCGTGGAACAAAACTCTACTCTCATAGACATCAAGTCCAGAGAATAAGATATCTCAACTCAGAGATACGACAACTGGATTTAGCAAAAAAGGGCGGAAGGGAACAGCATCTCACTTGAAACTGCCCCCCTGGTCTGAGAAAGCTGCCTGTAACCAACGAATCCCTATCTAACTCAAGAAAGCTTGATGCAAATGTTTAATTTGAATTCGATTCTTATGTTACGTCAACCTAACGGTAGTTGGTCTCTGCTGAGTTTTTTTAAGTGCGTCAACAAAAACTTGCCATATCGCCTGATATAACTTCTTCCTGCAGTGGTGAAGAGGATTGAGGTATTACTACTTTCAACCTGCAAACGCCACCTGAACATGGCTGGCAATCAACATGCCTTCATAAATTATAAGTTAATGGGCTGCTAGATGCACTTGATCTTTCCAGGTAATACTATGAAATATCAGTAACAGTCATCAGTGATATTTTCAGGTAAAAACTCAAAAGGCAAAAACAATAAACTAGGGATTCTGCAGATCAGACTCTCTATTGAAGTTGGAATCACCTGAAATACTTATGATTGCACGATGAAGGCTGCCTGTTAGTATTTGTTAAAAGGAAATTAGTTATATTACCGATTTTATTCAATATTTGATGCAAGATTTCACCTATCCAGAATCCCCTGCGAAACTATTCTCTAACATAACGAAGGAGGACAAACAGAACATATCAGTCTGTGACTTCAAAACTTCGATTGTTAACACCTCATAATATTATACTTCAAGTAACTCTTAATATGGTTAGTCGTGTGTGAACTCGTTGCATACAGGACATATATTTGGTATGTCGGGATCGATTTTGGATAAATAGAAGTTTAACCTAGTGCAGTACTCAGAACGAAGTTGCGTGAGGGTCATTCTGGATTCGCGAGGTAACCTAGACCAGGTTTGTTCTTATGACAGTCGAGCCTACGTAACCAGAACAAAACTTTAGATGGGTCCACAATGGCTGGCACTTTCTTTGTTTATCAAGTTGTCACCAATCCTTCTTTCTATTTTTCCAAAGATGTGCAAGTCTCTCTTTTCCACACATTGAAAACATTCAAGCTGAAGATTCTTTATCTATTCCGGCAGAAGTTGACAGTCTTTAGGATAGCTATTCGTATCATCATATATCATTAATGTCGGATACAATCTGGATGCGTCCCCATTATATAGAAGAGACTATTATCGGAATGGTCGTTATCCAAATTGAAAACTTTTTTTTTTTTAAACACCGCTATTTTATTCTGGTAGACAATTTTATTTTTAAGCTTTCATTGAAGCATCAGTGGAGGATCGAGGGAACGCGACAGTCGGTTCTAAGTAATTGGAACGGGCCCAGATTTTTATCCGGCCAAGGACTATCAACTCGGCACCATTCCTCGAAATTACCTCAGAAATGAATCTTACTGCGTATTCTAAAAGTATGTATAAATATCCCCGTAAAATTTTAAATAATTGGTAAAGATTTTTTTTTAATTTCTAGAAATCGCCTTTTGTAGGCTTTCACACTAGATGTGTCCTTAATAAAAAAAATTTATATTATCGTAAAAAATATAATTTGTGAGAGAATAGAAAGGAATACTGACTAAAATTTTCAAACAATTTTTAATTTTTTTTTTGTAGATTTTATTATAAAAATTTTATTGAAAAACGCAATTTAAATCAAAATTCCATGTACATAATCAACTTAACATACATCAGTGGGAAAGTCTGTTTGACTTTCTATATCCCATCAGACTGGAATGATCATATGTGTAAATCAACATTTACATCAAAATAAATTAAGTAAGTTTCTGCACAAATTTGGCGAAATAGAGAAGTTGCTTGTGCTGACACAAATGGAAAGAAAATTTTGGAAAAGGTCGATAGTGAAAGGAAAGTAATGAAAATATAAGGGAGAGAGAGAGAAATCACGTTGAATTAATAATTATAATTAATTATGTTAGGCTTCTAACATTCACATAGAATTATGTACTTAATTATATCATTAACGGACAAAGAGAACATAACACAAAATATTAAACTGCAATGAGAGAGAGCAACAAAGAAATGCAATGTTGTATATCTTTTTAAATAACTGTGAAATACACAACACACTGATACGAAATATTTGTTACAAACTCATTCCAGTTTGAACATTTTCAATGTCAATGATATTTTTCACAATTCATTTACTATTTGTTTATAATTTGTATCTACTCCTTTTTAGACATATTTTAATTTTACACACTTTTTGTTTTGTTTTGTTCTCTTGGTATACAAATTGTTCATGGAAATTTTACGAAAATGTTGCTATCATTCTGCAGCTGGTATATGTCACACAGAATGTAAAGGAACATTTCATTTTAGTTAAAACGAATTGTTCGGGACATGTGTAATAAAAACGTTTTACATGCAGAAAAAATACAAATTCCACATAAATCATTGTAAATTTCTATAGTAATTCGGTTGTTCATGAATTTGGTTTAGTAGAACTTCTTCGCTTGAGCTTCACTGCGACTCCTGAATAAAATAATAAAAAATTGTCGTGGTTAATTATTTGTATAAATAATATGTAAACAAATTATTTTACACTCACTTGAAAAGTTGATATAAAAACACAAGTATCAGTTGCACAACAGTCACGCTTAGGAACAAAGTTACGCCAACACAGTTACCTGTTGGACAACCCGTTTGCGCCTGTGGCGTGCCCAGTCTACAATTAAAAGAAAAAAAACAATAAATAATAACAAATTGATTTTTATATATGCAAAATATGACACTCACTTCTGCCCAACATGCGCCATGCCCTGTTTCACCTGATTCATGCCGTCTCGCATCTCAGCGATGACCGATTGTATATCGTAGCCGGCTGCTTGTACTTGTGCTGTGGGCGCACGTTGTTGATTTTGTACAATGGTGTCGGTGCGTATTTGAATATCACCGATTAACGTACGTATCTCACGCGCTGTCGCCAATAAGGCATTCTGATTTGCAACTATAAGATCAACTTCAGGTCGTGTAATTGTACCGCTGATTGTGCCTGTGGCAACAGGTGGCACACCGGCACCTGCGGCACCACCTACTTGTTGTACCGGCGCACCAGCACTTCTCGATACCAGCGATAGTGTGTTTTCTTGGCGTCCTATTACCTCATCTACTTTGCGTGAAAGATCACGTAATTGCTCGAATATCTGACTTTGACCTTGAAATATTTGACGCAATTCACGTTGGTTTTCCGATTCAAAGAATTCTTCCCAATCATCATCGTCTTTAACCTAAAACGAAAATATTTTAAAAAATTTAATTGGTTTACGTTTTTGAAAATGATTTAAATTGTGTAAAAAAATATAAATAAAAATTCAAAAGTCACACGAAATAGCCAACACAACAATATCAAATCATTGTTGCCGTACCTCATCAGGATGCTCCTTCTTATACTCCTGCTTTTGTTTCTCCAACTTTTCTTGATATTCCTTATATTCCTGTGTCAGCTTTTCAGAGTTTTCTGGAACTTTTACAGGGTCTGATGGCACTTGACCGGGCGGATGCAGTGACGTTGTCAAGAAATGGAAGACATCATGATCATCAGCCAAACCTCCAGTCGCCGCGGAAAGACCAAAGTAACCGTTTTTGGGTAATTGCACACCGTCCGTGCGTAGACACATTTCATAATCCTCATTATTGTTCGTCATACCATTGTGGAAAAATACAGTTAATACATTGTTATAGTATTCAATGCGTGCGCGTGTCGGGAACGGTTTGTTGCGGAAGTCACGCAAACAGCCAGATAACAACTGAGTGGTGCCATCGTTTGCATGATCAAACTGTTTAGTACCATCATTCACCACAGCCATAATATAAGGATTATTATGTTTATTGTCATTATCGAAGGAATCAAAAAAGATGCCCAAACCATTCCAACGGTCCGAAGAACCAAATACAGCACCATTATAATCTCCTTTTTGTGTGGAATACCACAAAGCCAGACCATCAGCACCAATACGCCCTCGACCGGATACTCGGAAGACTATCTCCACCTCCCACCAATCGAAGTTCGTTGGCGACTTTGTCCAGATGGCACCCTTTTGTGAACGCAATGACGGCGCAACTCGTACACTTTCCGCACTCGCAATTGCATCTGTAAATTACTCTTTTTTAATAAATTTGTACATCTCATAAACGAAAGTTAAACAAACAGCGCCTATTTAAGGGGTTTCAAGATCATATTTTTGGAAAATTCGCTTAGCGGTTGGAAACTTAGTGTCCTACAACTTGTAAGGAGTCGACGGACGGCAATATCGAGTGCCACTCTGTCATTAAACATGCTCCATTGCATTCACACTTAAGCGAATCGTTGCAAACACAGCTGAGATAGCAGAACATCTGACGTGTCGCCCCACTTGTCAAACGCGTTTGCTCCACTGCCAGCAGTGGTTTTTTTATGCCATTCAAGCTGTCACTTCATTTTTGTTAGTGTACTTACTGCCTCCGTACTCCCAGAAGGGCACAGTGCCATCTTTCTGCGCTAAATATGGCGGCTTAAAGGAATATTTATACTCGAAACGTCGATGCACACCGGCCAGATGATTATTCACGTTAGCTTGGACATGTTGTTGTTCCCCTAGGATTAGCAGAATCACCACAATTGGGAGAAATCTACAAGAGCGCAGTAATCCGGTAACCAACATCTTTATTTGACACATACACTATTTTCTTTTTGTTTCGCTTGAAGTTGGCTGCTCATGCCAAAGTCAATGCAAGTGTTGTAAAGAGCCAAATAACGATTGGATACTAATGGAAGGGGATTTTGTTTAGCATTATATGCGTTGCTTTGTATACTCTGAGCGAATTTACTTGATACCGTTGTATAATAAAAATTTAAAATAAAATTTTGAGAATATTTTATATACTCTTGTTTGTCTGAAGCCATCTCTTTGTGAATTAGGAGCAATTGATGGCAAAAAGGAAGAAGTGATGGAGACAGGGGAAAATCGGGGACAATTCCTCCTAAGACCGGTGCTGTGCAACAATTTTTTGCAGAGTTTTTTATCCAACAATTCACTACAATCATCTCTGGGCCCCGGTTATCTCTCTACCAGCCTGAGAATATGGATATGTAATGTCCACCAACATATTCTTTGTTATGCCATATTTATGTATGTAATTGTAGCTTTGCTGAGTCCATTTGCACATCTCTAAACTTTTCAGCAAATGTTTGTTATCTCTAAAATATTTCATATATGTGACGCTTACATGCTTTAATAAATCTTTCCGACGTTACTTTAAGTTGAAAGAACAATTACTTCCTCATTGATTTTCCCTGCCTCCAATAATACATATATTTAGTGTGCTGTTGTTATTTTAACGGATAACTAAAACCCTCTTCGGAGGAATGGTGAGTCAGTTGTCATCTAGTTTATTTGAGAGTAGGTCCAGGAAACGAGCTGTCTCGAGGGGGTCCTACATGAATACTTACCCATGCTGAAATAGTTAGATCAATCCTCGAGAAGCATAGCAAAATAGGTGTTTGTTGATAATGGTGATTCGGCAATCTAACCCTGTTTGAGTCGGTAAGTGTTGTATTGTGACTGTGATCTTAATTTCCTTTTCAGAAGCGATATATGAACCTCTCAGCAGCTTTCTAACTACGCATTGCAAAACAAATAGATTTAGGAAATTGCACATTGGTTTCAATACTCAAGAACCTTTTTTTCGTTAACGGCACAGATACTCGGTGCTAACCAAAAGCTTCTGCCCTCGTTGTTAGTAAGTGAACAGCGGCTTTGTTTCTACTTTAAATTTATCAATAGTAGAAGTTGCTCATTTGCGGTCATTCTGATATATCAGGCATAGGTCCAGATATGTATGCATTACGCTTTTTTTTGAAAGAATTTGATTCAGTTTCGACATTTCAGGGAAGTAGTAGTGCTTGTAATGCCGTTGTGTTCAATTCCAAACTACCTTGTAAATACTTAAACCCTGTCTTAGAAGAAATTTCTTAATGTATTGAAAATCAATTCATTTATTTATCCTCTGCTTGTACATTTAACATATTGTGTACATGCCTCCATGCATGGTGTGAATGTATGTATGTATGTAAGAATACTGTTTATTAGCTTAATTAGGTAACTCCTTAGGAAGTCTCGTGTGTTTACAAGTGTTGTAGAAAACATTTATTTGCAATTTTTGCCGTGTTTACTAGATTTAAATGTTATAATATACATTTACATACATGTATGTATGTATATGTTTGTAAGTATGTATGTATTTAGTTGAATATATGTATGCATGAATTATGCATTTTGCAAATCTACGCTTTTAAAGGTAAACATCACAAATTTTATTCGTTACTTGTCGTTTTCATTCTTTGAATTTCACAGTTACAGTTAGGAAATCCTTTGCATATTGTTTTTTTTTTTAATGTTTGAAGTAATTTTTTATTAGTTTTAGTTTGTGAAAAAAAGAATTTAAGTGTTGTGCTTGGGAAAATGTAAACAGTAGGTTTGTTTGTAAACAACAAAGTAGTACAAACAATTAATAGCTGCTAAAATAATAATAATAAGAAAAATATATAATAAAATAAAAAACAGTTAAATAAAACACGTGAAATCTGTAAATTAGGAAATTATAACTGCTGTTTATTAAATATTTTACGCTTAAGTGAGCTGCCTGATTGCTTGGTTTCATACAAAATAGTTCTTGTGTGTTTTTCGTGTTTTTGTTTTTATATATTAACGTCGCTATATATATGTACGTATGCTAATTATAATGCAAAACTTAACTAACACTATTGCAAATACTTAATCAGCAATGAACTGAGAAACGAATTAAGTACAAATATAATATAAGAAAATGTTTTATACTACAATAAAATATTTATGACGTGTATGAGGTTATATAAGAAATGCGTGCGTGCTATTTTCCTTAAAAAAATAGAAATGAAATACAAAACTGTTGTGTAAAATATTTACAACGCTGATGGTGTTTTTGAAATTTTGTAAAAAAAAATGCAATTTAAACTACGCTCGCCCAAACTACAAAAGTGTGGTTAAGTTAATAATGTTTTAATTGTTTTTTTTTTTTTAACAAATTACTATAATATATGTGGTGTGTTAAACTTAAGCAGCGTGTTCTACGTTATAATATACTATGAGTGTTATATAACATTGTGTTGTTGTCGCACTTCTCAACCTATGAAAAATACAATTAACATTAATGTTTGCATTAAATATATCTATATATATATATAAGTAAGTCTGTGTATAGTATGTATTCACTTAAATAGCACTTTTTGCAGTGTTTAAAAGTAGTTTTTTTTTATTTTTTTGTAAATTTCCTTTCTGCTCAGTTTATTGCATCATTCCATATGCTTTACGCTGTTGTTGTATAAAAAAAGTATATAAATTGTCAGAAATAGTGCAATTCACTACAACTGCAAATTATTGTTGACAAAACTTACAAATTCAATTGCGCGCCTGCATTATAGCTTATGGCAACGCATAGGACAGACATATGTATGTGTGTGTAAAAGTGATTTCAACGATTGCAATAATTTCGTGTGCAAATACAAACTTTTGCGCTTAGAAAAAAAGTATCCAAAAAAATATTTATGTATATATAATACATAAGTATATAGTATATATGTATATATATTGACACCCACATTTGTGAATGCACAGATATATGTATATATACGTGTATGTGTAGTTATATATATAATTATGCGTACATAAATAATGCAGCACCATATTTTTAGTTTGTTTGTTTTTTGTAGTTGTTTTCTTTAGCATATCTTAGTTATAGCGTGAAGAAATAGAAAAATATTAAATTCCACAGTTTACATTTCAATTGATTTTACTCAACGACTTTCTCATTCGCTTAATACTACAGTTATTCACTTGCTTTGATGACATTATCAGCTATAAAAAGTAATAATAATAAAATATGATTTATTTATATGTACGACAAAGTATTGTGGCATAATCAACACTTTCGTGTGAGAAATCTATGCAATTAATTTTAATCCAACTCAAACTCTTCATCTTCGCTTTATGCAAAATATGCATTATGCAATCATTTTGGAAAAAACGCTCAGCACAACATGTATATGCGGCATTTAAAGAAATTAAATGTATATGCAACATTTTACGTGCGAGCCGAGCTTAAATGTGTGTCAACGAACGTAGTTGCAGAGCTTTGCTCATTTCGCTCTTCGCATTCTATGTGCGGAATAGCAAATGGTGTAATGGCATTTTTTGTGTGGCTGGTGGGTTTTTTTTTTTGTATTAACTATTACATATCTGCTTTCAGCCAATTATAGACATCACTAATGTTTGTGTGTGGCTGTCGTTGAAGCCGAAGAGAAGACGCTTAAGAGATCACCCTCGTATAATGCAATTAACAGCATTATGGCAACACCAGTGCACATGCCAAGTATTTGCAATAAGAATTGCTCCAGTGTCTTGTGTGCCGACGATAATTCCGGCATCTGTGAAAAGATTATAGCACACATTATAGCAAATACTTAGAAAAATAGGTGATATTTTCATGACTTACCATATCGACAAGCGCTATGTAGATGAAGAGCCCGGCGGCTACAGCGAACATCCATTGGGCTACATTTGGCGATTGTCCAAAAATTATACCGATTATCATGCCAAAAAAGCTGAGCACGCTCGTTAATAAATTGTAATAGACTGCTGTTTTGATGGACATGCCCGCTTTGATGAGTATTGCGAAATCGCCCAGTTCGTGTGGCAGTTCGTGACAAAATACCGCTAGCGATGTGGAGAAGCCGCCGGCAATGTTTTCAGCGAAAGCAGCGCCTGTAAGAGCATGATGACATATTAACGATAAATTCAATATATAATTTTGTTTTTGTTTTAGAAGATGAAATAAATCGTTTCGTATACAGCCGAATCAATGAAAACAGAAGAGAATAATTGTTTTGGACTTTTAAGTTGCCAATAAAATTGTGTTACCACAACAACAAAAAATAATCGTAAATGAAATAGAACACTTTCTTAATCTTAAACAAAACAAAATATTAAAATAAACAAATTTCCAAAGAGTAGAGATTTAGTGAAGAGAATTTCCAAAACCACATACATACATATGTAATCATAAATTTTTAGGGTTATTTCTTTTTGAATTATTCTACAATCAATTGCATGTAGTACAATTTAATTGTTATATTAAGCATAAATAAATATTTTAAGAAAACTTGGTTTGTGAGTAAGTTCTACCAATGGCCTACCTATCATAATTAAGAATAATCGTAGCAGATACTTTGACAACAGATGGTTTGATTGAAACTTGGGGTTATATTCCGATATTAAGTCAAAACAGTATCAAATAATAAATATTTTAAATTAAAGAAAATAATAATAATAATAATAATTTGGGTCATAATATGGTTAATTCACCCTAAACTTTCGTGAAAGAAAAAATATGTACGAAATAGACATAAAAAAAGTAAAAATGTGGTTATTTGAATTTTTCACAAAAAAATTTTGAGGTTATGTGAAAAATGTGTTAACAAGAATATTGTAGATTTTTTTTATTGTCTACAACTTTTTTTCATAGAACTCGTAGTTTTGGCGGAAATGGAGATAAACCGGTTTTAATTCTTAAAAATTCAACTACTCCCCTTGCCTTCCTCTGCCTGACCTGAGAGTATCCGTAAATTATTTTTCCTCACATTTTTGTTATTTTATCTTCTTTTTTCAATGGGTCTCATAATATTCTGTTTTTTTTTCCTTTCAAAACTTATTGACCAGGTCTAGATAAAATTTCAATAGTTTAAGTCTTTATTTAGTTGGTCGGAGCATACAATTTTTTTTTCGTTTAGACTCCCTAAAAAAAATTTCATTAGTTTATCGAAATTTAATCCAATTTTTGCCAACTGTGCCGCGGCTATAAAAGTACAATACGTACTTTATAACAACATTGTTTTGAAAATTTTAAAGAATTTTTGTTTTTAATAATGAGTTAACATGAATTTTATAAACAGCTGTTTGCGTTTCCACCAGTAAACTCAACGGCTCTAATTTGCAAAAATATGTGAATATTGCGTACTTTGTATATAAGTATGTACATTTAATTGCTCTGACATAGATAACTTTCAAATATATATCTAAAAATAATTTAATGAAAGCAGCTATTTATTCGGTGAAAAGTATGTATTCCAGTCAGATTGTTAATTTATATGCCATAAACGCACCTATAAAAATCTATTTAACTATTGAAAATGACGTTTGCACTTGCATATTTAAACCTTACGTACTTCACTCCAGACACACTGCTTATAATTGTTATAGAAATTGTGATATGAAAACATTTGTACATACCTATTGCCATGCCGTCGGTGAAGTTATGCAAGCCATCACCCATGATAATCATCCAGACAACAGCACTTAACGATTCCGGTGGCGAGTGTACGTGTCCGTGCTTATGACTATGCCCGTGATGCGATGACTCGTGCTCACGTAATATCACAGTTGGAACGGAATCGCTGACTAATGAATGTTCTTTGGCATTGCCATTGGTGGCCACCGTCGGATTGTAGACCAAAGCGTGACTATGGCCATCACCACCACCACCACCGCCACCCATCGAATTGCCATCTAAATCGGTTGAGATCGTATTGCTGTCGGGCAGGTGTATGTGGTGGTGCTGTGGCTGTGAATGCTGATGATCTTGATGATTGTGATGCCACACAGGTATTAGGGATTGCGCCACCGCATCGTTGTCTTCGGCGTCTGCTTTGCCATTACGCTTACGCTCCACATTATTACTAACACCCATTAACTCACCAGATAAATCAGAAATGTTGTTCAGCTTTGAGCCGGGCAAATGCATATCGTTTTTTGTATCCATAGCGATCTCATCGTAACAATAAGGATATGAGCTGTACTTGGACTTGCATACTTTATCGCCAGCAACCGAGTTGTTGACCGAAGAATCGGGATCACGTACGACTTTGGCGCGCGATTGTTGTTTCGTATCACTTTTGGCTATACGTTTGCGCCACTCCGCGATCATGGTGAGGCCATGTTCGGTCATATAGAAGAAAACAATGCCACTCATGCAGCCGAGTCCTTTTAGTATCATATTTTGCTCGCTCTGACCAGCTAGAGACTGAGTGAAGGATTGATTTATTTATGTAAATCAAAAGGCGAAATTTAAGAATAAATGTTTTTCAGGGTACTTACATGTGGTAGTAAATGCAACAAAGCATCACCGGTCATGGTGCCAACAGCCAGTGCCACCAAATATTGTATAATGTATTTGTAATACCGCGAATCCATAAAGGGTATGATTGCCACACCAACAAGTCCCAAAATGCCACAGGCGAAAACGGAGATAAATGCGTATATCCAGACTGTAATAGTTTAGGCGTCGATCAATATAGTTTATAGACAAATTTCGACATGACTATGACATTATAGTATACATAAATTGGGTCTTCAATATTGAGGTTAGAAAAGATGAGGTGAAGGAGATGCAAATAATATATATATATATATATATAAACCACTGATAAATTTTCGTCGAATAATATAGTGTCTTAAGCATACCCACATCTTGCTCTTTGCTCTCATTTGTGATAAACATTGGAAATTTTATCAAAATTAGTTAAAGATCACATAAACATAATAGTGGAGTCTAAAAATTATTCCCTGAACGGCTTTTGTTTAAGTTTTGGGATCTCAATAGGTTATTGAAGACTAGTCTTGGAATATTGAGCAAATTTAGAGAGATAAGAAACTCTTTGCTGAGCCGAATAGATAAATAGGATCCAATATGGGAAATTTCGACTCCTAAAACTTTAACCCAAACATAAATATAAGTAATTTATAAGTTTTTTAGAGTTCAAATTATATAAACAACATCAGGATCCGTTTCCATGACAGTCCGGTCTAAGCCAAAGATTTTAAGAATTAGAAAAGTATGAGGTTTGCACCGCGACTCAGAGTCTATTGTGCCCTCTGCTCCATCACATGTATTCCCAAATTCCTAGTACCCCGACAAACTCCAGAAAAGCTCAGCCAAAGATTGTCTGCTCGACAGCATTCGTCAATATTATTTGTATACTTACGCTACAACAACATTTTCCAACACTCAGTAAGCCTATACTCTACTAGAGACATCTTACTCCACGGTCTGACTTCAAATCCACTTTTTAATAATATAAAAGTACGAATATGTTTTGAGGTCCTAAGAAAATAACTTCCTCCAACAACTATTTAATTTAGAGCTTTTGAAACACTCCCCTAACATTCATTTAGACTAGTTTTCCAAAACGCCTCTTACTAATGTGTGTAAGATTATTTGAAGTACTTATCTAACCTCACTCAAGACGTTCTGAAACGTGTGCCAACTTTTACTCACCATAAACAATATCCTCCTTGGCGTCGTATTCGCTCGCTTCATATGCTTCAACATGCTCCAGTATCGAGGAATCTATGCAACCGGCGCGATCACCAGCCAGTGGTGACGCCATTTGATACAACAATACTGGACACAGATGCAGCATATCTTCTTTGCTAATCGTATAATTTGGCGTGTGTTCATGCAACACTCTATGCTTTGATTGATTTTGTTGCGCATGCGCACAATCCGTTGCATCGGTATCATTGCAATTCATGGCACGCTCGATATGCAGGTGTGTGTGTTCAATTCGTTTATGTGGCTGGACATGGTAGACTAGTGCGGCATCGCTAACACACTTCAAAGTGGTTGAAAGATAGGTGTGGGTGAGTTACGAGTAGCAGTACCGAAGGATAAGTTAATTAAAAGTAAAATGCAATACTTACAGTGCCATTGCTGGTCGCCTGCTGCTGGTTCGCCGCAGAATGCTGTAAATGTTGGGCGGTTTTTTCTTGTCGCTGTTGTTGTTGTGCTGAACTATCTCCTTCTATCAGCTGATTCAAGCCGAGCTTTTTCAGTATGCGCTGAAATTCTTCCACTGTCATTGTGCCATCAGCCTTATGTCCATACTCGACAAATATACGCTGCAGGAATTCCGCTGTAATCTCGGGTGGATGCAAGGCGCTGGTCGTCGTCTCATCATCGTGCGCATGTCCAGCATGTCGTTTTCTTCGATGTGGTTTATTACTATGTATGTGGCTCGTTGTTATTTCAATGTCAAGTTCGTCATCAGCATTCGCGTTAACTGCATGTTTGTGTGTGCCGCCAGTCAACGGGTCCATGCCGAAGCGTAAAGCGTCACGTCGCTCGTGCACGCGCGCATTTAACTGTTGATATTCGAAATGTGGCGGCGGGTATGCAGCAGCATTCGCCATATAATCATTTATGACATGCTCCTGACAGGGTATGCGATCGGCGCACAGTAGGCACACGACGCAAACGGCCATTATATGGCGTGCCATCGTGTTGCTTCGCTTCTCTGCTGGTAATGTTTGATATTTTATTATTGCAAAATAATATTTTAGGGAATACTTTGCAAAGCGTTGAGAGAAACACGTCTGCGCACAGCACAGATATGTCTACACTTTTTGTATTGTTACACCACAAAACGCACACACACGCCGGCGCATACAATCACGGCGTTCACTTTTCATATATTGGTGTGTGTGTGTGTGTGTGTGTGTGTGTGAGTATGTAGTTATGCTTTTATTATTTGAATTTAACTTAAATTTAAATTGTTTAAAGCAGTGTTTGCCGCATTTCGACGCGCATGCCCACTTGTTGTTATCTGCAATCAGCAAGAAAAAATCACGGTATTAATATAAACAAATTTGGAAATGTACTTATTAAGTAGCTAAATAATTAAAAATACAATTAAAAAAAAACACTAAAGTTCTTTTGTGCTGTAGCGCTTATGCGCGTGTCAGCATCTCAAATCTTTGGCGGCGTATAAACGCATCCCACTTGGGCAGTGTGTTCTCAACGCTACCATAAATGAACCGACAACCTTGGTCACTCACTCAACACTGATTTCTTTATGTAAAACAATTAATACGAAACCTACACAGCAAACCGGCAATAGTTTTCGGTGCGTGTGTCTGTATATGCAATTACACTTGAATATATCCATATGCATACATATGTGCTTATAAGTACATTATGTATACCTTAGAACATATGTGCGCTGATTGCTTTTCAGTTATTGCCTTAAACAGACTCTTTTGCCAAGACGCTTTAAAGATACAAAAAAAAATTTATTTATTTACAGTTGTTGGAGTGCAGCTGAAATGCTGCGCAATGCGATATATATTTTTGATGACTTCGAATAAAGGAGCGACGTATTTATAATTTTTTTTATTTTTTATTATTGGAATTAGTTGTTTCAACTACTTAAGCTTTCAACAGGCTCTTCAAATCGGTAAACTAACAACTGCTTATTTAGCAGAAAAGCTTAAATTACTTATTGGAAAGTATTATTGTATAACGGGAAAGAATGTTAACTACGGCTGCAGCGAAGCCATAATAACTTGCACAGATGAATTTCTGAGAACATAAAAGGGTATTAAAAGATCTTTATCTTCATTTGTATCGGTCAATACGTATAACAGCTATATGATATGCTGTTCCGATTTGCACAATTTGTTCGGTGATCGCAGCCTTGCCTTGCTAAATTTCTAATCCGTGCTAAATTTCATGAAGATATGTTGTCAAATAAAAAAGTTTTCCATACAAGGTCTTAATTTTAATTGATGATTTTGTATGACAGCTATATGCTATAATTGTCCGATCAGAACATTTTGTTCGCAGATTGTACCGTTGCCTTGAACAATAATTCATGCCGAATTTCGTGGAGATATCTCGTCAAATTAAAAAGTTTTCCATACAAGAACTTAATTTTAACCGATGATTTTGTGTGACAGCTATATGCTATAGTCGTTCGATATCGAAGATTACATTAAAATAGCAGCTTCTTGTAAATATTTTTTTTTTTTTTTTTGAATTTCAGTTCGATATCTCAATATATCTATCTGTAATTATAATAGTTATATTATATTTTATATGGAGTAAAAGTTTTTGTATCATAATATTTGATTTGATCTATTGGCAGTGGGTTCACTGTACTTACATATGTACATTAATTATATTTTATGTTAGAAATCGTTTGCCTACAGAAATTATGTTAAATTGGCCCCCAATTAAATGTTTCTCGGGTTATTGCATAAAAATATATACATATGTACAAAATAAAAGTAAATTTTCCACATATTTGAACGCCCTTAATTGTACGAAATTGAACGAGAGACTCAGTAAATTGATTTCCCAGTTAATTGAATTTATTTATTTATTATTATACTTTTGTATACCCTGAACAGGTTGAGTTTGCTACGAAGTTTGTAACACCCAAAAGGAAACGTCGGAGTCCTTATAAAAAATATATATAAATGAACAGCGTGACGAGCCGAATCGATTCAGCCATGTCCATCTGTCTGTCGGTCTGTGTATACGCGATTTAGGTCCCTCAGTTTTTAGAGATATCGATCTGAAATTTTGAACACGTCCTTTACTGCCGAAAAAGCTACTAATTTATCGGAACGGCCGATATCGGACCACTCTAGCATATGGCTGCCATACAAACTGATCGGTAAAAACCAACTTTTTGTATGGAAAACTTTTTTATTTAACAAGATATATTCACGAAATTTTCATTCTGACTCAATTCGCAATAACCCCACTTGATACTAGATGCACACCTACTGTCCTCCATCCAACGTTTACTGAAGTTTAAACAGACCAAACCACAAAAATTTTCGGAATTGTGTCCCCGCAGAAAAAAATTAAAAATAAAAAAAATTTTCCACATTTTCTCTTTACCTTTGCAGTTATCGAGATGTCGTCATTGTCAGACCAAATACACCAGAATGCCATTAGAAACCAAATTCGGTAAGAATATCGGTATACATAATTAAGTTAATAGCAGATTCATTGACTCAGGCGCGATAATGAATCGTGCCAACTTAAAATAGAAACAAACCTAATGTCAGGGTATCACAATGCATGACTTTGGGTTGATTCACTCCTTGACACGAAAGCAAAATCCGAATAGTGTTAAGGTGAAATTTCTTCACGTTGAGTGTCGATTTTTTTTTGACTTTTTAATATATTCGAAATCATTAAAAATCGAATTAAAAAGAAAAAAAATCGAATTTTGTGAAACATTTGTATAACCGTCCCTATTAACAAGCCCACCAACTGTACGTTCATGTACATGTAATGCAACAATAATAAACCGCTACGAATCAGAGTAATACTAATTGATGTGCGGAAGTGATCTTCTATTGACAATCCACTTTTGTTGCGAAAAACAAGTCATCTGCCGTTTATCAATTCAAAATAAGAGTTTATTTTGTTGACGTCAGGTGGTTTTCACAATACAAATGATGATTGGATTAATTGAGGTACTCAAACAAATGATTTATAATCACATGCGCTTGATTGGTATAATATTTGTGTCGATAAAGAAAAATAAAAACAATAAAAACAAAATTAAAAAAAAAACCACAAAAATAAACAATAACAAATAAATTAAAAAAAACCAACAAAAACATAAACATCAAAATATAAAGATAGATAAATGAATATCATAACGAAGTAACGGTATAATACGAATTACAAATATTCTAATCTATAAAAAAATTTTTTTTTCGATAATTGGATAGTAAAAAATTTGAGTATATAGTTTTTGGTCGGCAAAAACTGCTGAAATTCAAGGAATTGAAATACATATCTACAATTTTTAGTATCATATTTTTTTGGACTTTGAAATCCACATAGAAGACGGTGTTGTTGTTGTAGTGGCAGAATCATGCCGAGTTGACTCCGTTCCGGCTATCTAGACCCGGCTGTCGTGGGAACGATCGACCAATTTCAGTTAATTTTCAGATTGACTTTTATTCTCACTTTTCTCTTCGTTGCTTTTATTGTCTCTACGCCTAAATGTAGGCATTATTTTCTACAGTAATTATTACAAGTGTGTAGATGAACATGACTTTTCGTGCAATTCTCAAACAATTGCAGAGAACCATGCTGTTTTAGCTGTTTGTAGTTACACATATTCTAAAACGTCAATGATAACTAAATTTAAAGTCATCTGGTTTTCATGAAAGACGCGGCTTTTCCAACCGACAATTCTATAGACTTACTTTTAGTCTCGGAAATTTGAAATAGTCAACTAGATATAAATATGAAGTGAAACTTGATGAGAGAACGTAATCGTAAACTAGCTCATGTAAGTCTCACTGAGGGAAATATACCTTAACTTTTTATTCGACAAGATATCTTCACGAAATTTCGCAGAGATTATTATCCAAGTTAACGCTACAATCTTTGAACCAATTATTCAGATCGTACCAAAATAGCATATAGCTTATATTGCATCTGACCGAACAAAATTAAATCTTTGTAAGGAAAACTTTTTAATTTGACAAGATATCGTTATGGAATTCGGCAACGGCTATTTTTTTTACTATTGGTATTTAAATTTTAAAAATTTTTTAAATATTTTTTTAATTTAAATGATTATAGTTATTATTTAAATTCATCACTGTGTTAAATTATAGTTAATTTTTATTTTAAAAATATTTCAACTAATTAAATTTGTACATTTCATTCAACTCTTCAACTGTAGAGAATACAACAATATGGTAACACTGCTAAAAATATATGTACATATGCATATCTTTTAGGAAATTTTTAGATCAGTTATGATTCCACAATTTAATACGACACGCCATTAATCAACGTCTGACGTGGTAGGCGGTGTCAAGCAAGTATTTTAATTCTTTTATATGCATCACGAGATGAGAAAATATTTCATTTACATTTTTTATTATTTTGCGACACACCTTTTGCAAATGCAAATTCCAGATTATGACGCGAAACGTACGAAAAACGCAGGGGGAATCAAAACAAAGTGAATGTAGACAGACGCTTGCACGAAACATGCGTGCGCTTATTTACGCGACACCGAACACAGCACAACTGGAGAGTAGAGTCCAAGCTAAAATGCGGCAAACTCAAAAAGCAAAAAAAAAAATAGAAGGAAAAAAATTTAGAGACATAAAAAGTAAATAAAAATACATCCAAAAGCGTTTGGGCCATAAAATTTGCGTTGCGTTAAAAAACCAGCTGCATTTATATAAATATAATATACCATATACGTATGTAGATGTGTATTTACCGCAACAGTTAGTTGTAGTTAACAGTTTTTTGGTTAAATGCGACGGCAGTTACATGCAAACATACATAAATACATATTTATTTTTAGATAGTTTTCCAGTTTACCGACTAATGCTTTTGCATGTCTAACGGTATGTACCATATATAGCTATACATATAAGCACAAAATCTATTGATAAAACTTGCAAAACACTCGCTGAAATTCGCAAAAGTCGGTATCGGCGTGGGCGTGCGTACAGAAATGCGTTATTGCGGTTAAATCATGTATATATGTAGTATATGTATATATTTATATATATTGAAGCATACATACAGGCGCACGAACTCAACTATGCCCGCCAAAGTCAACCGACAACACAAAACTTTCATAAACAAAGCTTAATATTTACAAAATAACAATAACAACAACAACAATAACTAAACCACGACCATGAACGTGTTGAAGCATTTTCATGAACGAAACCGGCAAAACTTCGTTAGAAATTATCGACATAATAACCAAGAACGCGGCCGCTAGCGTAAGGTGGCAATTAATAGACAGTTTAATATACA